TTGCCCCCCCCCTTTTCCTTGCTCCCTCTCCCCCGGTAGCCCCTGCCCCTCTCCCGCCTCGTCCTGCCCCGTCTGGTGTCTCCCACGTCACTCCCCTCCCGTCGGTTGTCCCCGTTGAGGAGTCTGCTGACTCTGGTGGTACCCCCGGTCCGTCCTTGCCGCGTCCCCCTTCCCCGGTGCCTCCGCCCCCACTGTCGCAGTCGCCGACCCCGCTGCCGCCGCCGTCGCCGTCGCCGCCGCAGCCGTCGCCGCTTTCGTCGTCGCCGCCGCCGCTGTCGCTGCCGCAGCCGTCGCCGCTGTCGCCGCCGCCGCAGCCGTTGCCGCCACTGCCGCCGCTGCTCTCGGCCCCTGGGGGTGCTGGTGTGGAGGAGGGTGTTCGTCCTGCGGCTTCTGGGGGTGCCGCTGGTGTTGGAGGGGGTTCTCGCTCTGGGGGTGTTGGTTCTGGGGGTGCTGCTGTTGAGTGTTCTGCCGACGGTCGTTCTGCCTCTGCTGGTCCGAGAGTTCCGGCCCAGCCGTCGTCGCCGCCGCAGCAGCCGTCGCCGCCGGTTTCCGCTCTCCGCCTGCTCGGCCTTCCCTCCCCGGACCGCGCGCCGGTGTCTCCCCCACCGCCTCCTGACCTCCCTGTCTACGGTCCTGTGTTCCCGCCGCCAAACTCGTCTCCGGCCCGTCTTCCTCCTCGTTCCCCTCCTGTGTCTCCTCCGCTGTCCCCTGACCCTACCCCTCCGTCTCACGTTTGGGCTCGCCGTCCCTCCCGTGCTCGTCCCGTCTCTCCTGTCCTGCCCACCCACCCTATGTTGCTCCGTTCCCACTCGTCTCGTCCTCCCCTCCTCCCGTCCCCTCCTCCCTCGTCCCTTGCTGTTGCACCTCCTCCGTTCTCTGACTACCTCCGTGCTGCTCGTCCCCTTGTCCCTCGGGTCCTTGCCTCTCTTGTTACCGACCCTGCTGTTCCTGTCTCGCGCCTTGACGCGCTTGTCGCTGCTGTCGCTGACTTCGCTTCTACCCGCCGCCTTGACTACGCTACCGCTCTGGTCTCTGACCCTGCCCGTCCTCTGTCCGTCGGGGGTGCTCCTGCCCTTGGCAGTGACGTCCTAGAGGACAGGCAGTACGAGCTGGCTTTCCTTTCCGAGGCTGCTCCCCATCTCTGCTCCATGCTGTTAGTCCCTGAGGGTGACCCAGACGCCTTCGACATCCCGACCCCTCGCACCTACGCTGAGGCCACCTCGGGACCTTGGGCCTCTCAGTGGATAGCTGCCATGGAGCAGGAGATGGCATCTTGGAGATCCACCGGCACTTACGTCGACGCAGTTCCCCCGCCTGGGGTGAACGTAGTCGATGGTCGGTGGCTCTTCAAGGTGAAGCGCCCCCCTGGAGAGCCGCCTGTCTTCAAGGCGCGCTACGTGGCCAGAGGTTTCAGTCAGCGCGAGGGGGTTGACTTCTTCCAGACCTTCGCCCCGACCCCGAAGATGACCACTCTTCGGGCGCTGCTACACGTAGCAGCACAGCGTGACTACGAGCTTCACTCCCTCGACTTCTCTACTGCCTTTCTTCAGGGCAGCCTACACGAGCAGGTCTACCTGCGCCGACCACAGGGCTTCACTGGTACCTTCCCTCCTGGGACCCAGTGGCTTCTCAGGCGCCCGGTCTACGGCCTGCGTCAGGCTCCCCGCGAGTGGCACGACACGCTACGTGCCACGTTAGCAGACCTGCAGTTCTTTCCGTCCTCTGCTGACCCTTCACTGTTTGTGCGTTCCGGCCAGACTCCGTTCTACATCCTTGTCTACGTAGACGACCTGGTCTTCGCTACTCCTGACAGGGACGCACTGGCCTCTGTGAAGGCTGAGCTGCTGAAGAGACACACCTGCACTGACCTTGGAGAGCTGCGTCGCTATCTTGGCCTGCAGATCTCTAGGGACAGAGCAGCACGCACCATCACTCTGACCCAGTCACACTTGGTGCGTCAGGTCCTTCAGAGGTTCGGTCTTCAGTTCTCCTCCGCACAGCCCACACCTCTACCCGTAGACCATGGGCTCTCTGCTCCCGTTCCTGAGGAGCCAGTAGAGCCCAGTGGCCCCTACGCAGAGCTGGTGGGTTGCCTCATGTACCTGATGACTTGCACTCGCCCAGATCTCGCATACCCTCTCAGCATCCTGGCTCGCTTTGTGGCTACAGGCAGACACCGACCTCAGCACTGGTCTGCCGCTAAGAGGGTTTTGCGTTATCTTGCTAGTACATCAGGCATGGGGTTAGTGCTAGGAGGACGCAGGCCAGTGGTCCTTACTGGGCACACAGACGCTTCTTGGGCAGACGACGCTGAGACGCTCAGGTCGTCGCAGGGCTACTGTTTCAGCCTTGGTTCGGGTGCTATCTCTTGGAGATCCACTCGCTCGTCGTCTGTGGCTCAGTCTAGCTGTGAGGCTGAGATCTACGCTGGTGCCATGGCGGCACAGGAGCTCCGCTGGCTGACCTTCTTGCTCACAGACTTAGGTGAGCGGCCTAGCTCTGCCCCGGTCCTGTACGCTGACAACAGGGCCATGATACTCCTGTGTCAGGAGCCTCGGCTTGAGGGCAGAGCGAAGCATATCCAGCTGCGGTACTTCCTCCTGCGCGAGCTACAGCAGCGCCGCCAGGCCCGCGTAGTTCACTTGGCCTCAGGTGCCAACACAGCTGATATCTTTACTAAGGCGCTTGCGCCTAAAGATCATCAGCGGCACTGTGTACAGCTTGGTCTTGTTCCTATAGCTGCTCCCCTGTTAGGATCCTGATTGTGTACTCTCTATTATATATGCTTGTCAGACTGGCCTTGTGGCCTTACCTCCAGTGGCTGGACTAGTAGTGCCACCCTGGCTTGCTTCAGTTTTGGTTGTATTCTTGCTGACTGGTCTCCAGACCCCTGCCTCAGTGGTTGGACTAGTAGTGCCGCCCTGAGCTGTTTGCTTCTTGTTTAGTTTCACCCCTTGTCTAGCCTAGGGGGTGTGTCAACTTATACATATTATCTATGTAGAAGTTATAGGCTAGACTGAGGTATGCTTCTAGTGAGTACAACCAACTAGTATTTGTTCTAGGTTTCCACCTCTAGTAATCATTCGGTCCTGTACTCTCACAACAGGGCCATGATCCTCCTATGTTAGGAGCCTCGACTGGAGGGCAAAGCGAAGCACATCCAGCTGCGGTACTTCCTCCTGCGCGAGCTACAGCAGCGCCGCCAGGTCCGCGTAGTACACTTGGCCTCTGGAGCCAACACAACTGATATCTTTACGAAGGCACTTGCGCCTAAAGATCATCAGCGGCACTGTGTACAGCTTGGTCTAGTTCCTGTAGTTTGTAACTTGCTAGGATCTTGATTGTGAGCTATATCTTTTATTACTCTGACTAGCCTTGTGGCTCCTATTCCAGTGGCTGGACTAGTAATGCCGCCCTGGGTTACTCTTGTTTAGTTTGTACTCTTGCTGACTGGTCTTTGGACCCTTGCCTCAGAGGTTGGACAAGTAGTGCCACCCTGAGCTACGTGTCTCTTGCCCGGAACTGCCCCTCATCTAGCCTAGGGGGTGTGTCAAACATATATGTATATGTTACTATAGACTAGATAAGTGCGTACTCTTAGAGAGTACAACCCCTTAGACAAAGCCGTCCTGTATCTCACATTCTAGCTAACAATTCTACTATGCGACAGGTGTGAGGGGCGTAACTGGACCTTGGGCAAAATGACGCAGGTAACGCGAGTTAGCGCAGGCGTGAGGGGCGTTACAGGTCCATCGCCAAAATCACACCGGTAGTGTTAAAAGTATGCAGTGAAGTCCGATCCGATCTAAGGATCAGAAACCTAAAATATGTACCTGATTAGTCAGGCTTAATTTTTTTTGCCCTGATAAAACATGGCCTGTCTAACATAATGTGCTATGTTAAAATCGTACCCACTCTTAAAAATCGCCAAGGCTGAACGCTATCATCTCAGCTGTAAAAAAATATCATTCCTGATCAGTCAGCCTTCGAAAAAAATTACCTTAAAAAAATTTGCAACTTCCAAAACTTGACCTCGAAAAATGGGGGCTCATGCCAAGGGCACCCTAAGCCAATAGCCCCTCAAAATCCATCTGAAGCCCTATTCAAGATGCTGTCTGAAACGAAGTAGCTAGAACACACGAGAGGAAATAGGGCATTGAATGGTTTGGGGGCATGTTACACGAATGACGAACATTTTTTGGGCACATTCTTTTTATCACATACTTATGGCATATTCGTGAAGCCTATACTTTCACTCAAGTGAGCGATAGTAATCATGTACGCGCCTTGCTTTGTGATGTGATTTCGACGAGTCTGACTAAAGTGCACGAAAATGAGGTCATCCGCCGAAGTCGACTCTCGATAAAACGCCATTCGCAAGCCAACCTGCTTGTGTGCTCAGGCCCCGAAGCATCCAAGGGCTCGCAGTCACCAAGCTCATCGCATCGACGGCCGACTGAGCAACCACAGCGCAGTGCGCACCGCTGTGTATGACCCTGACCAGCCGTGTGTCACGGGAAGATGCGCGCTTCGCGCGCTTCCGAAGCACTGACGTCTGGTTGTGGTTCCCTTTGCCACAACAATTTGTATTGAGCATATTTACTCGGCAATGCATTCCACGAAAAGGGTACACTGCGATGTACAGAGAAATGCTTATTCCCACTAATGGCGTTACATTTAGGACAGCCATATGCCTTTGGGATTTGACATGCGATTTTGCCAATTGACGAAACACAATGAGTGTTGCAATTGCCCACGATAAATATTGGTCAGTGAGAACATTTCCCCCAGAATTTCGAACCCCGAACCGACTTCCCAAGCCAGCCCGCGCCTCTCGGGTCACGGTGCAACTAACGAGCGGGAGCAGGACCCGCGCTACTCCCGTCGCACTCCACAGCTGTGCTGTACCGTTGCGTGGGGGCTCGTTTGTGCCACTCCACCTCCACCACCACAGTACCATCGGTTTTCAGCCCAGCTCATGCGCACACACAACCCTGGCTTTGATGTTGCCCTGGGACCTGTTCTAGTTCCAAGGGCTTGCTTTATTTTATTCCGTTAGAGACATCGCGTTATTACGCGCATCCTCTTACACAGAAAGCCTTAGCAACTAACCTCGGCTACTTGCTGCTTAGGTTTAAGTTAGTGCGCAGTTGGTGTCAGCAGCTCAACAGCACGCAGACCGCGGCTTGTGGTCCTTATTTGTCTAATAGAGAACTAGCCAGCTTAGAAGCGAGCCTAGAAGCTCCACTGCCTTCACATAGACATCCCTCTGAGCACAGCACCGATCGCCATGTCTGAGCGCAGCAACGTCTCGGCGTCTGGCCCGAGGGCCAATCCGCTCTACGGCGGACCAGCCAACCCCAGCGCGGGGAACCGCACCCCCTCATGGGCGCGCAAGTCCGGCGCAGGCGGACCATCCAGCCGCCCTTCCTTCTCCGACGCCGCCTCCTCCCCCCCTGACTCCCCCGCTCGTTCCGCCAGGAGCAACAACGGCCCCTCGTACTACGCCCCGCATTACGAACACCCCGGCTATACCGTCGAAACGCCCGGCGCTAACGATGCCATGTTGGGGCAATCCCCGTTCCGCGCGCCCCCGTACTACGTGCAGACGCCCGCGCACTCGGAGCGCCCGGGCTCCCCCATGTCGTCGGTCCCCGACTCCCCCGCGCACACCATGTCGTACGACATGCGCAGCGTGCGCTCGGGGAAACCTGGCTCGTCGCGCGTGTATGGCGCGCCGGCGCGCGCGGCCGTTGTGCCGCTGTCGTCGCGGATCAACGAGGAGGTCGACGAGGAGGAACAGCTGTACGAGCCGCCCGCGAAGGAGGAGTCGGGCGGGCGGTCGAAGCGCAGCAAGCGGTTCTGGCGGGTCTGCATGGTGGTGGGGATCCTCGCGCTGGTCCTCGCAGCCGTTGCGACGGGCATCGCGCTTTATTACGTGTTCCAGCCTGATGCGCCCACGTACACCTTCGATGTAAGCACACTCGTTGTGTTATTACGCGTTCTGGATTGGCGTGTCTACGGCACCACAGATGAGTTTATCCAATCGCGAGGGTTATTCATTTGCGCGTTTCCCATGTTCGTCCGGCTTCCCCTGGTAACTGTTACAGTATGCGACGCTCAACGAGTTCCAGATCGTCAACAAGCTCGCTGACGGAACCGGTCTGCCGACGGATCAGCTTTTCGCCAACGTTACTTTCGTCTTCTCGGCGATCAACCCGAACGACAAGTACACGTTACAGGGCGACGGCGGCCTGCTGCAAGTCGGCTACAGCTCCATTCCCACTCTCATGCAAGGAGGGGTAAGTGCACTCGTGAGGCGTAAGCGACTCAGGTGTTGTGACCTTGAGTGATGCTATATTGATGCCTTCGAAGTCCGCTACACTGCCATTACCCGTATTTCGCGACGATTTCTAGGCATATGGTGGTGGAAAGCCCTGTCCCTCACACCACCTACTTCGTCCTCGCTCCCACTATTTTTTTGCCTTCCTTCAGCTTCCCTACTTCGCTCTCAGCTCTAAGAACTTCACAAATTTCACGTCGTCAGTGGGTGTAGCCATGTACCCGTTATACGGCGTGGGTCCGGGGCTGCGTCAGGACATCATGGCTGAGTACATCAGCATGAGCATTCGCGCAGAGGTGAATTCGCGTATCGAGATGGCATGGAAGATCGTGCAGACTCGTTACACGCACGTGATGGACTGCAGTGTAGCTTTCAACCCCGTCAATCTGCAGTATCTGAATGATACGTGCGTGTTCAAGAGAAAATGAGCTAGGAGTTTTGGGGAGTTAGGGAATAACTAGTAGCATGGTGCTGTGGCAGCAATTACAGGGGTTATGGGGGTCACGGTTGCCAAGCTCTCTGCTTATTCTTTAGATAACTAGGTTATAGTCTGGTCTGTACTTCCTGCCGTGAACATCACCCCTTGGTTTGGGGTGCCAAATGGTTCTTGACAAGTGTGCCAAATGTCCCTGAACTGCCTTGGCTTTCCTACCCGTAGTTGGCAGCACTGAGCTCTCTGAGCACTACCTACCAGCCAATTCTCTACCAACCAAATTTCCTACCGTTTTGGGATGCGGGTTTTAAAAGCATATAAAGGTGTGTGGAAATGAAGAAGGGAAGGGGCTTTACCAGATGTAGTAGACTAAGTATAAAACTATAAACAAGAACACTTGGCAAATCCTCAAGTGTTGGTCCAGGATCTTTGCTGGAATGGCAGACTAGTAAGACAGCGAAAGTCTTGTAAAATGTAAAGGTCAAGGTTGAATAATAACCTGAGTACGTGAACTTGTGAGTAATCAAAGTTAATAATGAAAAGACGATAATTCTACTAAAAGTACCTCTTCGCTAACGATATTGAAGAGGTGCGACTGTTCTCGTGACTGAAACGACTGTCCTATGACGAGCGCTATTTGCTGACGTCATCCTACGGACTTATGTTCTACAGTAAGATTCGACACTATCTACAACTAATCGACTTACAGAAATGCTAAGTATCAATTATATCACAACACTCCCCTTCATTTCTGGAACGTCGATAGTGTCACTTCTTGAAGATTCCGCAGAGCTTGTTACAGTACTGAAACTTCTGTTGTGTCAGCTTCTTCGTGAGGAAATCGGCAACCATTTCGTTGGTCGAACAGTAGACCAATCGCATCCTCCCCTTCTCGACTTCATCTTTGACGAAAAAATAACGAAGTGAAATATGCTTCGTCCTGTTGACGAAACCAGATTGATGTGCGATGCGAATTGTACTTTGATTGTCGCACTGTAGGGTAAACTGGATAGTTGTCGTTATCAGAAAATTGAATGATGGTGATAGAGGGAGAGTACACACAATATAGCTAAGTGTTGTACCCTCTAAGAGGCTACCCTATACAGTCTATACAAACATAACAAATAGACATGTTTGACACACCCCCTAGACTGCATAGGGGAAAGTCCTAAACAAACAGCTCAGGGCGGCACTACTAGTCCAACCTCTGAGACAAGGGTCTGAGCGACCAGTCAGAAGGAGTACAGACAAGGCAAGCAAAGAGCAGGGCGGCACTACTAGTCCAGCCACTGGGAGAGGACACAAGTCCAGTATGAGTATACATATAAAGGACAGTACAAAGTCAAGGTCCTAGCAAGTGAGAGGCTACAGGAACTAGACCAAGCTGTACACAGTGCCGCTGATGATCTTTAGGCGCAAGCGCCTTCGTAAAGATATCAGCCGTGTTGGCACCTGAGGCCAAGTGTACTACGCGAGCCTGACGTCGCTGCTGTAGCTCACGCAGGAGGAAGTACCGCAGCTGAATGTGCTTCGCTCTGCCCTCGAGTCGAGGCTCCTGACACAGGAGGATCATGGCCCTGTTGTCAGCGAACAGGACCGGGGCAGAGCTAGGTCGCTCACCTAAGTCAGTGAGCAAGAAGGTCAGCCAGCGGAGCTCCTGTGCCGCCATGGCACCGGCGTAGATCTCAGCCTCACAGCTGGACTGTGCAACAGACGAGGAGCGAGTAGCTCTCCACGAGACGGCACCTGAGCCAAGGCTGAAGCAGTAGCCCTGGGTAGACCGGAGTGTCTCAGCGTCGTCTGCCCACGAAGCGTCTGTGTGCCCAGTAAGGACCGCTGGCCTGCGTCCTCCTAGCACTAACCCCATGCCCGATGTACTAGCAAGATAACGCAGAACCCTCTTAGCGGCAGACCAGTGCTGCGGTCGGTGTCTGCCTATGGCCACAAAGCGAGCCAGGATGCTGAGAGGGTATGCGAGATCTGGGCGAGTGCAAGTCATCAGGTACATGTGGCAACCCACCAGCTCTGCGTAGGGGCCGCTGGGCTCTACCAACTCCTCAGGCACTGGAGCGGAGAGCCTGTGGTCTACAGGCAGAGGGGTGGGCTGTGCAGAGGAGAACTGAAGGCTGAACCTCTGAAGGACCTGGCGCACCAAGTGTGACTGAGTCAGGGTGATGGTGCGCGCAGCTCTGTCCCTGGAGATCTGCAAGCCAAGGTAACGGCGCAGTTCTCCAAGGTCAGTGCAGGTGTGTCTCTTCAGCAGCTCTGCCTTCACGGAGGCCAGCGCGTCCCTGTCTGCTGTGGCAAAGACCAGGTCGTCGACGTAGACGAGGATGTAGAACGGAGTCTGGCCAGCACGAACGAAGAGTGAAGGGTCTGCAGAAGACGGAAAGAACTGCAGGTCAGCAAGCGTAGCACGCAGAGTGTCGTGCCACTCACGGGGAGCCTGGCGCAGGCTGTAGACGGGGCGCCGCAGGAGCCACTGGGTCCCAGGAGGGAAGGTGCCAGTAAAGCCCGGAGGGCGGCGCAGGTAGACCTGCTCGTGTAGGCTGCCCTGAAGGAAGGCAGTGGAGAAGTCGAGAGAGTGAAGCTCGTAGTCACGCTGAGCAGCTAGGTGTAACAGAACCCGAAGAGTAGTCATCTTCGGGGTCGGAGCGAAAGTCTGGAAGAAGTCCACCCCCTCGCGCTGACTGAAGCCTCTAGCCACATAGCGCGCCTTGAAGACAGGCGGCTCTCCAGGAGGGCGCTTCACCTTGAAGAGCCAGCGGCCATCGACTACGTTCACCCCAGGTGGGGGAACTGCGTCGACGAAGGTGCCGGTGGATCTCCAAGATGCCATCTCCTGCTCCATGGCAGCTATCCACTGCGAGGCCCAGGGTCCCGAAGTCGCCTCAGCGTAAGTGCGAGGGGTCGGGATGTCGAAAGCGTTTGGGTCACCCTCAGGAACTAGCAGCATGGAACAGAGATGGGGAGCAGCCTCAGACAGGAAAGCAAGCTCGAACTGGCGGTCCTCCAGGACGTCACTGCCAAGGGCAGGAGCACCCCCGACAGACGGAGGACAGGCAGGGTCAGAGACCAGAGCGGTGGCATAGTCAAGGCGGCGGGTAGAGGCGAAGTCAGCGACAGCAGCGACAAGAGCGTCAAGGCACGAGACTAAAACAGACGGGTCGGTAACGAGAGAGGCAAGGACCCGAGGAACGAGGGGACGAGCGGCACGAAGGTAGTCGGACAGCGGGGGGGGCGCAACAACAAGGGAGGACGGAGGAGGCGACGGCAGAAGGGGAGGACGAGACGCGTGTGAACGAAGCAACATAGGGTGGGAGCGCAGGACAGGCGAGGCAGGACGAGCACGGGAGGGACGGTTATACCAGACGTGCGATGGAGGAGTCGGGTCAGGAGACAGGGGAGGGGACACAGGAGGTGAATGAGGGGGGAGACGGGCCGGGGACGAGTCCGGCGGAGGGAAAACAGGGCCGTAGACAGGAAGAGGAGGAGACGGTCGGGGAGGAACCGACGCAGGGTCGGGGGACGGAAAGCCGAGCACGCGAAGGGCGGACACCGGCGGGGACTGCTGCTGCGGCGGCACAACGGCGACACCTGGTCCGCAAGCTGCTCCTCGGCTACCACCGGCACGCTCCACACCCGCACCCCCAGAGGGACCACCCTCAGGGCGACCGGGACCAGCACCCCCAGAGTCAGCGAACGGGGGCTGCGACTGCGGCAGCGGCGGCGACGGCGACGGCTGCAGTGGCGGCAGGGACGGCGGAGGAGGGGACTGGGGAGGGGACACCTCGGGAGGGGCGGCCGGCGAGGACTGCACCGGAGGGCCACCAGAGTCAGAAGACTCCTCAACCGGGTCCACGGACGGAAGGGGGGTGACATGGGAGACACCAGAGGGGGCGGGACGGGGAGGAGGAGGAGGAGGGGCAGGGACTACCGGGGAAGGGGTGACCAGGAACAGGGGGGGGGTAACCGGGGGACCACGGTGGGGAAAGCGTCGGTAGTAGGAGACGGACTCGTCAAAGGTGACGTCACGAGAGTGAAAGAAGCGGTGAGACGGCGGGTGGTAAAAGTGCCAGTCGGACGCGTCAAGGGGAAAACCGAGGAAGACGCAGGGAAGGGTGCGGGCAGTGAGCTTGTCCGTGCCGGAGGCACGGACGTGAGCAAGGCAGCCCCAGACGTGGAACGCAAACGCGTCACCAGGAGACCCAGTCCAAAGACGGGTCGGCGAAACCTGCGGCTGCTGAGGGTGCGGCCACAGGGTAAGCTGGTGAGAAGCGTAGCGCACAGCGAACGGCCACAGAAAATGGGGTGCACCGGCATGGACCATGGAGGTGCGAGCGACCTCCATGACCAAGCCGATGCGTCGCTCAGCGACCCCATTCTGCTGTGGGGAGTCCGGTAGGGTGAACGTCTGGGTGATGCCCTCCGCACGACAAAAGCGACCAAGGACACCTGAGGCAAACTCGCCACCACGGTCTGAGTGAAGACGCAAGACAGGGAGACCGCGGTGGACACGCGCAGAGACAAGCCAGGGGATGAGGGCGACAGGCACGTCGGCCTTGCGCTCCAGGGGAAAGACTGTGGTGTAACGAGTGAAGTCGTCGACAAGCACAAGGAAGTAGCGCTCGCGACGCGGCCCAGGGACGGGGGCGGGGCCCCAGACGTCCAGGTGCAGGGTCTGCAGCGGCGCGGCGGTAGGGGGGAACGAGGAGGAGTGAGGGGCACGGCGAAGCCGACCCTCGACACAAGGCGTGCAAGGTGGAGCTGGGGAGGAGGGAAACGCGGGGAGTGAACCTGGGAGACCAAGGACAAGACCGTGCTGGGACATGTGACGCAGACGCGGGAGCGCAGGGTGACCTAGGCGGTGGTGCCACAGGAGGGTCGGGTGAGTGAGGGAGCGACAGGAGCAGGCAGCAGCAACCTGGGTAGACACAGCCACCTGAGGGGGCGCTCCAGCCGGGGGGGGCACGGTGTCCAGAGTGAACAGGCCGGACACCGGGTCCCGGGGGAACGTGGACAGGGGGGCACCAGTGGCGGCCTCGGTACAGACAGCATACCGCTCGTGACCAGGGAACGTAGTGGTGACGCCAAGGTCCTGGAGGCAGCCGACACCAACTAGGTTCCTGGAGACCGAGGGGATATGCAGACCTGTAAGAGAGCCCGAAGGAACCGCCGGACAGGGAAGGGTGGTGGAACTGCGGGCGACTACCGGGCCGCCGG